CCCCACGGGTACCATATGTTCCGTCCATCCCATCGTCTTTGATCTGACCATCCTAATATTTGATGAAGCCGATCACAGTGGCCGCGCGGTCTGAGGCATGAACTGTCTTCGCTCGCTCGAACGCTGGGATCGTGGGTTCGAAACCCGCTCAAGGCATGGATGTCTGTGTGCGTTTATTCTATGTTGTGTTTGTCCTGTGTGTAGGCAGCGGCTTTGCGACGGGCTGATCACTCGTTTAAGGAATCGTACCGTCTGTGTAAAAAAAATACGAAACTGAAGAATTGGCCATGGCCCAACAAAGGGATGTAGAGCCAGTGATGAATTAAATATTTGATGAAGAGTACAATCTGTGAGGGTTCTCATTGTGAAATTTTCTGCAACTCCCAAAATTATCCATTTAGGTCCAATTATCCACAACGCTGTCACCCTCAATCTACGATATTCCATCAAGTTCAAAGACTTCAATTTTCGCAGCCATATAAAACAAACAGTAAAACTATAGTCCTGTATGTTTTATTCCACACGTTTGCATACAGCAAACGGAACGACAAACGATTCCGAAACCCAGCAGAAAACATTTCCAGAATTTAATCCGCTCTTAACTTTTTCATTACTATAATTTTCATTTGTGTTAATCTGCTCAATGCTGGTGAAGAGGCATGAACCTATACTTATATATTTAATTCCAAATTAATTTATTTCTCGACTAATCTGCTTAATGGCGTCCTAACAGATGTCATGCTGTCACAGTATACAGAGTGTAAATAACTATATGTTACAACGCTCTGTGGTAGATAGATGGGTTAAATCTGATCATATCTTGTTAATACACCCATGTCCGGACACGCATCCTTTTCCCAGTAAGGGTCACAAAGCAGTCTCCGTAGTCTAGAGGTAACGTTCTCACCTCATGACTCGTGGTACGCGGGTTCAAACCCGGCGGAGGTCGTCGAATTTTTAAGGGCGGAAAAATTCAGGGAACAAGTCCTCCTGGAGGGACTTTAAGCCGTGGGTCCCGTGTCGTAGCTTTACGGCACGTAAAAGAACCTCATATCTCCAAAGGAGGTCACCGAGCCAAATTCAAGGACGTTTCCCGCCCAACAGTAGTCTCTAACGCCTCTGATAGATGGGGGAGGCATTATAGATACCGCCAAGCCAGTAGAGGCCGAACTCGCTGGCTCGGTCGGGACTGATGGTCCGCACCAATATCGGTAGGGTATGGAGACTGGTAGAATATCATAGAGGGAAGAACAATGGACCAATACTGGCCTAAGTGCATGGGGAAACCCACCCTCTCCAATAACTAACTAACTAACTAAGGGTCACAAAATTTTCCGAGAGGATAAACAAGTTTTGGTGGATATTATCGTTGTTTTACATTATAAAAGTTCCTCAAAATGGCAGCCACCGACTTCATTGCACATTCTGCACCGCCTGGCTATGTTACGCTGAGCTCATTGAAGGCTCCTCTGCATTTCCTGGATGGTTCCAGCCGCTACTGCAATTCTTGCCACAACATCATATTGTGTCTCCACTGGAGTCTCATACACCAGGATTTGCATGTACCCCCAGAGAAATAAATCCAATGCAGTCAAGTCAGGGAAGCGAAGGGGGCCAGGTTATTGGGCCCTCCACGTCCAATCCATCTGTTGCAAAAGTTTCAGACAAATACTCACGGGCGCCATCATGCTGGAACCACATTTCACGACGGACTTCCAAAGGCACCACTTCCAGCAGCTCGGGTAAGGCCTCTTTGAGAAATGTTAGGTGTCACCAGTAACCACAGAGGTAAGAGGTAAGGACGTCCTCCTTCACATTTCAGAGGCACCAGCGCGTAAACAAAGCGTTTCCGGACGTGGGTGTATTAACAAAATATGATCGCATTGAACCCATCTATCTATCACAGAGCGTTGTAACATATATTTATTTACACCCTGTATATGTTTTCAACAAAAGAATTAACACAATCAAGACACACCATAAGCTCACATGTCCGAATCACTCGCTTCACAGGAATATGTCTCTGGTATGGATAATGCCTGAACACCCACACAGACCCAGAGACACAAGCGTCCAACAATTCTTCTATTGTTATGTGTATTCGCTGCAGAGGGAACGTGTTCAAGGAGTTCCTGCCTAGCAACGAAAGGAGGAATACACTTTACCGAGCATTCGCCTAATAATGATAGGATGAATAAACATACACACGATGGGCCCAGGTGTCATGACATACATACCAAGTTTAATAAAGATCTTATAGTACTATTATACGAGTACAACAGTCAACACAACAAATTAATATTACTGTATTAATATTTATTATGTACATTTGATTTGTTTACTACGAATTTGTCGTGCTGACGGTTGTATGTACAATGGTGCCACATAGTAATACACAACAGAATGCGAACAATAAAGATTCGTTACGGCACTGAGGCGTTAATAGGTGGGGGGGGAGACGATTAAAAAAGAATACAGATCGCGTAAGCACACAATTCTGGACGGAAAGTCTGAAGAGATCACTTGGGATACCTTATCGTACGCTGTAAGACAGTATTAACAGGAATCGTAGGAAACAAGCCACAAAACACGCTATAACAGTAACGAACTACCCTACTATTTCAGAGACTCAGAGTTCGGTGTTGGTCAACATACCTGTTACATGAGTGTTACTTGCGGCATTCCTCAGCTCCGCCCAGCCATTTTTAAACTGACCACGAAAGCCAAACTCATATTTAGTTACCATTCGTCGCCACCTTCCCTTTCTTATGTCGTTTTTACATAAGCAGGGGTGCAGTTCTAAACTTGGAAGTGTCAGGGCGGTCCAACAGTGGAGACAGATCATTAATGCAGATGCTCACGTTACCTACTGTTTTTCTATTGCTAGTGGGGTGGGACTAAGTCCCTTGTACTGCGGCCACTTCTGACCTATTGTACCAGCCCCAAATGATAGATGACGGTGATTGTGGAGCAATTGGTGGAATGAAGATTGGCAGAGGAAACCGAAGTATTCGAAGAAAACCTGCACCAGCGCCACTTTGTCCACCACAAATCCCACTTCACCAGACCCTGAATCGAACCCGGGCTGCCGCGGTGGGAAGCCAGCGACTAACCGCTTGAGCTATGGCGCGGCCCTCACGTTACCTAACAAACTCACGCTTGTATATGCACAATTTAACGACATATAGCTTAAACGTACATACTTAATGAAGTTGACGCTTCCGTCTCACGGGCCCAAAATTAAATAAGCTATTAAGAGCTTTTCACAGCAGTACCTTTGAAAGAACTGCCAGGGCAGCGCCCGTACACTCAAGAAGGCGGATGCCACCCGGACCGCCCTAGCTTGACCACAGTTCTGATAATAATCATTCATCATAGACCCCTAGATGTGGCGGTGTGGACTGGACTGCCTCAGGATTGGGTTCCACAAAAAAAGGGAGTTTCTTAAACGGTTTAATAACTACTATCAATGTCCAAGGAAAATCAGCAGTCATCTAATTCAGAAGTTCATCGTAATAGAAAATACGAAAATTATCAGACTAAACTTAGAATACTGTGACACGCAGACCCGTTGCTGGGCAACGACTTGGTAAACCACATTCAAGCGACAACGAACAGGCAGTCAACACCCTGATAACTTCCGTTCCTATGCAACGCGCTCTAATTACAGCAACAGATGAACATGTGTCTTCTACGTGCTTCACATATATCTATTGCTGGGCAACGGATGTTTTATATTTGTCTGCCTCGAGACTATATAAATAGTCCAGTCGTAGGAAGCAACGAAAAGGGAAGTCTCGAATCTGGGACAGTAAAATATGGTCGCCAAGTCTCGTGGGACTCAGACCCGAGAATGACTGCGCTGGTGAGGATCAGCAGCAATTGTAAACGACAGACCCGTCCTCTCGTCAGAGAGAGCGTCCCACATCAACAACCCCGCAACTGTCGAACAGCAATAAAAATCTGGCCGTTAAGTCCGAGACAAGTGCTTTATTCCAAAGACAGACTGACCAACTAACTGACTGTCGATCGTAACAAAAGACTCGACTCGACTAAGAAGTCAGTCGTAGAAAGAGAAAAAGGATGTAGTGAGTCCTCGGCAGTCAGGGAAGAAGGGTTCGGCTGAAGATTGATTGTGAATTACTGTAGTCGATGGTGATTAAGGCAGTCTGTACAAGGTATTCAGAAATCAAATCATCCAATCCAAAACCCGTCAATATTAGTCACGGAGCCATGAACACGTGACAATATGTGTAATTCTAGGATAAATATAAAGTTTCTATAGTTATGAGTCCTACATAAATAAGCACGCACCTCTACACAACGCCAAGATACAACAAGGCCACCACACACAAAGAAAACACGAAGAATACGCATATACGAGTATAATATAAATCCAGTAGGCGACAAGAGAACACGCGTATCCTACTGTGCTCGTCAAGAAAAACGATCATTACACAGGACTCAGGACTACACGTCTAAATAAAATAACAAACATAACAAAAATTACAATTATAACAAGAATAATAATTAAACGGCAATGGTCTAATTTCAATCAGCTCAAAATTTTATGATTTATTTTAAATTAATTCAAACCAAAGTGACTATAAAAACAGTTTTAAGGTTGATACAAAATTAAAAGATGTTTGTATGCGAATAACGCATACCCTTCAGAAAACTAGTACAAGCGTCTATATAATTTACAGCATTTGTTTAAGTCTATAACTAAAAATCTACATTGTAAACAACAATATGACCTTTCCCAAATTGTAAACAGAGGCCAATGAGTGGGAATAGCAGGGAGAGTTGAGAGTGACTGTATAAGAACTATCTGATGATGGCAAAAATAGTCGCCGAAAAATGTCATAATACAGAAACTATAGGTACAGTTATCCTAGAACTATACCTATATTGTGAGACTGACTGAATAAAATATTATATCAGAACAGCAGAACACCTGAATGAATTAACAGTCCCGAAGAAGAAACCTAGAACATTACCTTGTAATTAATTATGCGTTCACTTTCTACACAGAACCCCATAACTCCTGCCTATGACGGCCCAGTCTTGCCAAGTAAGCTAGAGCAGTTACAGCAGGTGGCTAATAATAGTGACCGAACAGGCAATTTTCTTGTCGACATGTGTCCTCAAGGCCACGAGCCGATAACCCCTGATAAGGATAATTTCCGAGAACACATTCTTGACGCTCCGGTGAGCAGGCAACCGCACCAAGCGCTGGTGGAATGGGAGGCAATTTCATACATAGCCCCGTCGCGAACGCCGCAAGGTGAAAAAAGAAGACACTAAACACGGTGTTGCGCAGTATCAACGTCAAATCAGGGTCAATCTTTGTTAGCACCATTGTACGTTCTCTCTTGCGACTTCAACAATTTTAGAAAACTTCCTTGCTCAAGGAAAGGCAGGCTTAAAAGATATTCATTTTGTGCGTGTTTCCCTTTCAGTTATAGAACCAAGTAACCGATTATAAAGAAACCTGAAACGGGCGTTATGACATTCATGGCGATCCCAACTTCGCATTTTAAAACTTCCTGTACTCAGTAATAACAACAGCATGGCGGACTCGCCAACTTCCTGAGGCGAGGGCGTCAGCAGCGCCACTTAACCCTTCAAAACACAGTGGTAACTCACATATACGTTACCACCAGCTCTGACTTTAAAAACAAAACCTGGATTCTGATCAGAGCAAATTGTCTCTTTCGCATGATTCCCACAGAAAACAGGGATGGTTTCCTTAAACATGAAGGGCACACACAGCCTGCCCCGCGTTACGCAATACCAAGGACCGTCACGTGATCACGGTTCAACCAATCAACGCCAGTCTTCGTTTTCTCCTATGGCTTTGCAATTTACATTTTTAGCCTACTTTCCTGTCTCGACGAAAGAAAGTAGTCAAGGTCACGCTGGAATTGCGGTTCCCACAGCGGCGACTATCAAGAATGCAATGCTCTAGGTCACGGCATTATAACCCAGAAGACTAACTCCATGGAGCTCCGCTGGAATTACGCTTCCCACAGCGGCGACTATCAAGAATGCAATGCTCTAGGTCACGGCATTATAACCCAGAAGACTAACTCCATGGAGCTCAGCCTTTCTTGAGAAGCTGCCAGTTGTGCAGCTTATGGAACCCGAAGGATCATTACCGTATTCACAAGAGCACTCCACTGGTTCCTATCCTGAGCCAGATAAATCCAGTCCATACCACCCCATCCTACCTCTCTAAGATCCATCTTAATATTATCCTCCCACCTAAGTCTAGGTCTTCCTATTGGCTTTTTTTCTTTCTGGCTTTCCCACCAAAACCGTTCTGTTTATGGAATACAAAAATATTAATAGTCTCTATCATCAGGGTCATCACTAGGGAATGGCATACTGGGAAGTGTAACACAGTTCACACTCTGTGGGGCTCTGCATTTCAGCATAAGGAAAAGAAAATTTAGCCTCAGGTTAATAAACACGTTATCAAGTCATAATTAGGCCATGGAAGCTGGGAATGGCAGCATTTCAGGCTTCCCCTTTTCTGTCTACTACATTCTTCACAGGAACAGGACAGGTCACCCGGTATAGCAATAGGCTGTGGGCTGGAAAAAGCACTATTCGCCCTCATTCGTGCTACATGCCCTACCCATCTCATTCTTCTTCACTTGATCATTCTATTTATACTTAACGTATTTCTGAATTACTCTGCATACCGCTTTCACTTCTGAACCAGAGAGGATTTCCATGAAACTTAGCATGGCCATTATGCAATCCGAGATCACCCAAACGTCATACTGATATCACGAAACTGATAATAGCGGCATGGTAGACGTACGAACTTGTGAGACGGAAACGATATTTAAATTATGGTCCTGAAGTGACGCCTGGTATTTTTGGTAGAATGTAAAATAGAGAGTACGGCAGCAGTGAAAAGTTTTCTTTCCTTTCGATTGGATGGCAACATCTTACTTGTCAAAGCAAGGGAACAAAGCATATACAAAAATTTTGGCGACGAGATAGGTCACAAAGAAAGCTACAAATGAGATATGAAATATATTGAACAAATTAAATGTAGGCAAAATGTGTATATATTGTGAAGTGTATACCCACTGCTAGGCAACGACTCGCTACACACATTCCCGCGAAGCGTACGCGTGCAACAGAAGGATGTCCACTGCTAGGTAACGGACCAGTATATAGGTCTCCTTACCAAGAGAGGCTGGATTTTCTGCGTGGTCCATGCCGAGGTGTTATAAAAGGACAAAATCGGAAGACGCGACCGAGTACAGAACAGAAGTCGAGAGTGAAGAGTCGAGTTTCGAGACGCCAGCCTGCCAGGATGTGAGTTTGGAAGCAGAGGAATTGAATTGAGTCGAGTCTTCGGAACTGGCAGCTACAGAATAATGACAAGACAGGAATTGAGTTGTGAAAAGAAGACCTCGTGTGATTTGAACTTACAGTGAGATTACTGTGAAATCCGTTGCCAGGATACGGCTAGGGAGGACTGATAATCGTAGTGTGTGTGTGTGTGTGTGTGTGTGTGTAACGGTGAACTGTAAAGTGTATGGAAATAGCGGCAGCGCTGTATTTGCCTGTAGTCCCGAGATGTGTGAATGTACAAGGTGCAATAAATCCAATCATCCAATCCAAACCCCCCCTCTTATAAGTCACCCCTACACCTGACAATACATTAACAACTTGTACACACAAACAAAATAACAATAACGATATTCGTTGCTCTACAGAAATAAGTAGCTATAAAACAGGGAAGCAGCCTTTACGAGTTTCACTTGAACTCCTTTGTTTTAATAACGCGTTTCCAAAACTTCTGTCGTTTTGGTGACACGGACAGTTTGTGACATTTCGCTGTTTGGTGAAAATGGGACACTGGTAACCCAGACGTCAAAAGGAATATGGATACTTACAGACGTTATCTCAAGCAAGGTGCAATGCATTCATGCCATACGCACCACGCACATCGATAGCTCTCCAGAACTGAATCAAACACCTCTTCTTCTTCTTCTTCCTCCTCCTCCTCCTCCTCCTCCTNGCAATGCTCTAGGTCACGGCATTATAACCCAGAAGACTAACTCCATGGAGCTCCGCTGGAATTACGCTTCCCACAGCGGCGACTATCAAGAATGCAATGCTCTAGGTCACGGCATTATAACCCAGAAGACTAACTCCATGGAGCTCCGCTGGAATTGCGGTTCCCACAGCGGCGACTATCAAGAATGCAATGCTCTAGGTCACGGCATTATAACCCAGAAGACTAACTCCATGGAGCTCCGCTGGAATTACGCTTCCCACAGCGGCGACTATCAAGAATGCAATGCTCTAGGTCACGGCATTATAACCCAGAAGACTAACTCCATGGAGCTCAGCCTTTCTTGAGAAGCTGCCAGTTGTGCAGCTTATGGAACCCGAAGGATCATTACCGTATTCACAAGAGCACTCCACTGGTTCCTATCCTGAGCCAGATAAATCCAGTCCATACCACCCCATCCTACCTCTCTAAGATCCATCTTAATATTATCCTCCCACCTAAGTCTAGGTCTTCCTATTGGCTTTTTTTCTTTCTGGCTTTCCCACCAAAACCGTTCTGTTTATGGAATACAAAAATATTAATAGTCTCTATCATCAGGGTCATCACTAGGGAATGGCATACTGGAAAGTGTAACACAGTTCACACTCTGTGGGGCTCTGCATTTCAGCATAAGGAAAAGAAAATTTAGCCTCAGGTTAATAAACACGTTATCAAGTCATAATTAGGCCATGGAAGCTGGGAATGGCAGCATTTCAGGCTTCCCCTTTTCTGTCTACTACATTCTTCACAGGAACAGGACAGGTCACCCGGTATAGCAATAGGCTGTGGGCTGGAAAAAGCACTATTCGCCCTCATTCGTGCTACATGCCCTACCCATCTCATTCTTCTTCACTTGATCATTCTATTTATACTTAACGTATTTCTGAATTACTCTGCATACCGCTTTCACTTCTGAACCAGAGAGGATTTCCATGAAACTTAGCATGGCCATTATGCAATCCGAGATCACCCAAACGTCATACTGATATCACGAAACTGATAATAGCGGCATGGTAGACGTACGAACTTGTGAGACGGAAACGATATTTAAATTATGGTCCTGAAGTGACGCCTGGTATTTTTGGTAGAATGTAAAATAGAGAGTACGGCAGCAGTGAAAAGTTTTCTTTCCTTTCGATTGGATGGCAACATCTTACTTGTCAAAGCAAGGGAACAAAGCATATACAAAAATTTTGGCGACGAGATAGGTCACAAAGAAAGCTACAAATGAGATATGAAATATATTGAACAAATTAAATGTAGGCAAAATGTGTATATATTGTGAAGTGTATACCCACTGCTAGGCAACGACTCGCTACACACATTCCCGCGAAGCGTACGCGTGCAACAGAAGGATGTCCACTGCTAGGTAACGGACCAGTATATAGGTCTCCTTACCAAGAGAGGCTGGATTTTCTGCGTGGTCCATGCCGAGGTGTTATAAAAGGACAAAATCGGAAGACGCGACCGAGTACAGAACAGAAGTCGAGAGTGAAGAGTCGAGTTTCGAGACGCCAGCCTGCCAGGATGTGAGTTTGGAAGCAGAGGAATTGAATTGAGTCGAGTCTTCGGAACTGGCAGCTACAGAATAATGACAAGACAGGAATTGAGTTGTGAAAAGAAGACCTCGTGTGATTTGAACTTACAGTGAGATTACTGTGAAATCCGTTGCCAGGATACGGCTAGGGAGGACTGATAATCGTAGTGTGTGTGTGTGTGTGTGTGTAACGGTGAACTGTAAAGTGTATGGAAATAGCGGCAGCGCTGTATTTGCCTGTAGTCCCGAGATGTGTGAATGTACAAGGTGCAATAAATCCAATCATCCAATCCAAACCCCCCCTCTTATAAGTCACCCCTACACCTGACAATACATTAACAACTTGTACACACAAACAAAATAACAATAACGATATTCGTTGCTCTACAGAAATAAGTAGCTATAAAACAGGGAAGCAGCCTTTACGAGTTTCACTTGAACTCCTTTGTTT